GATGGAGCCTGGCTGAATTTTATTTAATCTAGCTTGTAGTGGCCTGGATATCCCAGAGTGTGGATGAAACTAGCCAGGTATGGTCTAGAAACTGGCGCCGCCCTGGCCCCAACAGGGGCTCCTGTGTCCTTACCTGACCCGCATGAGCCTGCTACATGAGGGGAGACGGAAGGACCTCATCGATGTATAGTGTTCTCACCGTCACCCAATCTTATACACAGCTCACAATTCCCATTATGATATCCCCTTAACCCAGGGGTTACTTAAGAGCGTATGTTTTGGTTTCTAATGATGTTAGGCTTTATTGCATGGATCCACTGCCAACTTATCAATTGCAATATAATCAGACGGTAGTCTCTGGGGTATCATTTGAAATTGTTGCACTTTTTAAACTTAAAATGTAGCCAGTATTTCTCTCTGTTGCATTCTGGTTTCTAACTGCTGCTCAGACGTTTTAGTTGCTTACATTGTAGCCTGAGTAAATACTGGTTTTCCTCACCTGTTTCTTCCATGTGATTGTAGCTTTCTTCCCTACAGTTGTCCGCTTTTGCAAGGCTGATAGGAAGATGCAGACTAGTAATGCATCTTTTCGGTTGGTTGTCCTTTTCTCATTTTGATTTTTATCTCTATCATGGGGACGTTTGCTTTAAATTGTTTTATCTGCCTTGACTATTGCTCGCTGTTCCGGCCATCTTGATTAGATTTTCCTGGTTATCTTTTTCTATGTTTTCATCCTTCCCATATGGTTTTATCAAAAATGTTTCCCTTGATTTTTTTAATCCAACCTCACCACCTCAGGGTGGGGGGTTTGGGGGAGGGAAAGGTGAGTTTCACCTGTTAAACTGGCGGTTACTGGTATCTTTGCATTTTTCCCCACCAGCTTTTATTTTCCATTTCCATTTTATTTTCCATTTTTTCTTTGTTGTTTTCCCTTTTCCCAGCTTTATGATGGATGATAGTTTTCTTCTTTCTGCTAGTTTGGAAGCTATAGGTTGTATTTTTATGCTTTTGGTGGCTACTCTTAAATTTTAACACAAATTATTAGCTCCGATATTTTCTAACAAAGTATTCACTTAACTGCTGACGGCACACCTGCTCCTGGTCCAGCGGTTTGGCCTTTGGTCCATGCGACGTTTGTGGGGCCGTGGGACTCGACGGGAAAGGACCAAGGAAAGAGCTGTAGACATGGTGGCGTGTGAAGGACAGGTAGGTTTTGGGTACAGGGCGGTTACAGGAGGCAGAGTTGCTGTTTGGGGCTGGGGCTGGGGGGACCCAAGAAATGTTTAAATAACTTCATCCACTTCTCACCGATTCCTGATTGGTTTTATGGTTTGACGGGATCCTGAGCTTCACCTCCAATACTTTGATTTTGTGAAAAATCAAATGAAATACACTCATTTAACAGCCATATATACATGTACTTTCATTCAGCTCACTTTTCAAAATGCAGGCGTTTCGGTGATCCAACCCGAAGGAACCGAAACGCAGTGGTATTTCAAAAACACTAAGACGAGTAAAGCAAGCCACTTTATTGATCAGGAAGTTTGTTCCTGTGCTTCGGCTCTAAACTTTTACATCTGCTTATTCTTGAGGCTCATTTGCAAACCCAGTAACCTATCTTCTCCTTTTCTTACTTGTGATGGATTTGGACTGGGACACCATCTCCTCTTTCGGGGGGCTCATCGTGAAACTCCTGGATGGGGCGTCCACCGGTTCCTTGATCACGGTGATGTCGACCTCATAGTCTTGTCTTTTGGCCTCTTCCTCCCTCAAGCTATTCAGCCTAACACAGGAAGCAAACACAAGAAGGTTTGTTTGGTTTTTTTCTTTGTAATTTCAAAACCAGTTTTTATGCTCTATGTGGTATCAAGTAGTCCATCCCTGGATTTCAACGTTTTTGTAAACGAGATTGTAAAATTATCATCACTTTGCCTAAAATAAAGTGATGCCACATCTAGAAAACCCAAAACACAATTTTCATATATCTGAAGGTACTGCGTACAACATAGCAGCTAGTGGGTGGCCTTTTAAAACACTCCGTGGTCTTGTTCTTTAAGACCCTTTAATGCTTCCTTCGACACACCCACAGGCTTGAGAGGCACTTTACAAAAAGCAGGCATTTGTACTCTGGACCAACACTCCTGCGTAGAACCGAGCCTGAACAGTGTTTCTGAAACAGTAAGTGCGGCACTTATGGGGTGCTCCCCACGTGCCAGGCATGGTTCTAGATGCTTCACAAACGTTAGCTCGCTTAATGCTCACGACAGCCCCTCGGGAGGCCGAGGCACCCAGTGACCTTGCCTAGGGTCTCCCAAGCGTTCAGGGGCGGGACTGGGATTTGAACCCGGGCAGTCTAGGTCTGTGGCCTGACTCGGCCACTCTGTCACGTTGCCTCTTTCTGTGAACCTGGGGACACAGGTGTCAGCCCTTTAGATAACCAGCGGAAGAGCAGGGGGCCCAGAGGCAGGATTCCTCCGCGTGGCTGAGGTTCTTCACACCATGAGAGGACCTGCCACCCCTAGGAAGCCGAATACTTTTCATGAAAGCATCTGGCCCTGAAACTTCTGGCAGCTCCAGATAGCGAGACAGGGAGAGGGAGGGATGGAGGGAGGGAGAGGGAGGGGGAGG